CAGGGGCCCCTAGAAGTGTCATGACTTTTCCCCCCTAAACGTGCCCCTGGTTACGACCAACAGGAGACTCCAGGTGGGTTTCATCTGCCTTCCCTGTTCTCTGAGCTGGACAATCAGAAAAGACGATGGGGGAGAACGACTGAACATTCTTGGGGGTTTGAAATTTCTTTAATTACTGGAGACAAATTGCTTTAATTTCTGATCTGTTGAACATTGTGCATTTTTCTGTTTTTATTTTATCAGTACATTTAGATCAGTCCTATTAAAAGAAAATATCCAGTGATTCAAGAAGCAGCTTTTGCTAAAATGTTTTATATGATATAAACAAGTTACACTAAAAAGAACAAGGAACTTGCTGAATGGATAATTATTCATCCTTCAATAGAAAACCAAAATATTTCGTATCAATTTGGTGACATGATTTAATTATGAAATATATACTTTCTCAGTTTTATGTTATTGTGCAACTTTCACTGTAATAGTTGAAGCATTTGGATTTAATTTAAAGGATACAGTTGAAGTTCTTTTTTTAAAACACTCAGTTGGCTGGAAAAAATTAGTCTAAATGAAATCTAAAATTCACCTTTTGTGTCAGTGGAGGTTTGGAAATGTTTAACTTTTACTGGGTATATGTAAAACTTTTTGCTTATTTCATCACATTAAAGTTAATTTAATTATTCGATATATTAAAAAATATACTTATATGAAAGAGAAGAGTTCTGTGTTGCAAATTCATCGCGGAATAAACAGCTTGCAAAGAAATGTGCTACAAATTCAGCTTCTATTGTGAAGAAAATGCCACTCAGAACATGGCAGCAACGAAACGTATGGCAAAACTTAATGTGGGCGGGACTTCCTGGTGTTCTATTCCGTGATTGGCGGGTCCAGCCTCTGACCCCAGTGCGCAGACTCGTGCTTCTCTCCGGTACAATGGCGGCAGTTGGAGCGCCGTCCTTCGTGTTTTCTCGGGTTTTTGTCCACGGAGCAGCGGCGGGAGAGTTAATAAAGCTGTAAGACAGAAACGACAGCAGTTGGTGAACTCTGGAAAGAAGAGAAACGGTTTGAGGCTCAGCTGGAACTGCTCAGTAACTGTTAAAGGAAAGTTTGGAGAGAGAAAAGCTAGCAGAGATGTGGAGACAGCAGGTCAAACAGCGACTGGATGCAGCAGAGGAGCAGAGACACGAAATACTGGATGCTGCTTTCAGCCCCGAACATCGGCTGCACACATCAGGTTTGGAGATTTACCTTCTTCATCGGGGATGGGAGCTGCAGGCCGGGAGCAGCTTCAGTCAAAACAGCGGAGGTTAGCTCTCAGCTAAAATTAGCTCCGCTCACACGGTTTGTTACGGTAAAAGTCAGAATGACTTTTGACGTTAACGTCATTATCCTCGTGACCCTTCAATGAACCCGGAAGTAATGGGAGCGGAATGCATCTGGAAAAGATAAATGATCACAGAAATACAGCCGCATGCTTTCTTAGTTCTATTGATTATTACTAACACAGTCGACTGTACATGGAGACAATTTCACTCGATGTTTCTCAAAGTTTAATTAGAGAAACACAACAGGACAGAAAATAAGAACAAGAATTTTAAATGTAAACATAAAATAAGTGGCAGGTTCGCTGTGCCTGCACCAGTTAGCCTGACCTGTTTCCTGTTCAGGAAGGAAAGAACCCTTTGATGCAGTTGGACATACAGTTATATCCCATTATGCAAAAAACTTTTGTTTTTGGTGCTAATCAGATGTTGAGTCAATTAGAGAATATAAATTTAAATATTGCGTTGACAGTTATTGTAAATTTAGGTATGATGCTAATTACATACACAAGGAGCTTCAGGATTGAAACTGTTCAATCCCAGCATGTTGATCCTTTTGTTGATGCTGCTAATCCTCAGACAAGACTGTAAATAGGCCTGTCGCGATAAACGATAAATCAATTAAACGCACGATAAATTAAACCTATCGACCTCATTTTAATTATCGGCTTTATTGTCTCTTCCTGCCGTTTTTTCTTTCTGTTGATGAGACTGAATAAAAAAAGACTCAGCTCCGGTGCT